GCTCAAAGTCCTTTATTTATGGCTAGAAACCAATTATGAGTGAGTACATCCAATGTTCATCTTTTTGGGTCTAGGATACATCACTCAGGATAGTGTTTTCTATTTCCATCCATTTGCACGCAAAATTCGCAAAGCCATTGTTTTTTTAACCGCTGAGTAGAGATCTACTAGAGACCAAATAACTAAGAATTTCTGGCAATCCGGCTTTTAAGAAGCTCTACAAGGTGATTTCTCAGTACGAAAGTTTGAGACCAGCCCTTATTTTGTCTATGATAAAATAACACACTCTGTTCCTTGACAGTAGTTATGACAATAGGTATAAGAAAAGCTGAACATTAATTGTGTATTTATGTGTTTGAGTGTATACCTGTGTAAAACATGTATTTTATGAGACCAATGTCAACTGAATTCATGTGTTCAACTGTCCTTAATGCCCATAATTTTGGTAGCATTCATCTCTTATTTCTTGTATGCTCCTGCCTCAATCTGTGCCCATCTCACCCTTTCCCCATGTTTTCAATATTTCCCTTATCACTAGCCATGAGTGAGAGGGAAAATTTGCTTTTTTGCTGTTCTTGTTGAAGAATAAGTAATATAACTGTATTTAGGTTTGGTAGGAGTGAGTTAATTTAGTATGTAGCAATTAACAATAAGAGAAAAATAGTGGATAGATCCAGATAGATGACAAGATCAAGTTAGGTCCTGACAAGGTCAGCCAGAAGAGCTGAGCAAACCGCTAAGGCTAGAGAGTTATCTGGATAGAATAGAAGTGATTCTCTTCATGGATTGGCTTCCCACGTCCCATTTCCAGGTCAGCAATTGTTATGCCATAGGATAAACAACAGTAGCTTTAGTTAGAAATGATTTATCTTTTAACTGTTCTAAGGGCACAGTTTATTGATACCCTTAGTTGTTTTCTGTTCACGTTCCTTCTTGTTACAGTGGTTGGGGACCAGACTGCTTAAGAACAGGATTCTCCAGGGACATGTTAGATCAGTAAACTCAAGCCTGAGACAATATGGCCTGTCTAGTCATCAGAGTCTGTTCTCAACAAAAACAAACAGCACACGTTAATTTGCCATAAGAATTTATGTTGCAAAATATCCTCCATTATACATACCCCCACCCAGACACCTCCCTCACTTTCTCCTCAAAGATATGTGTTGGATTTTAACTATCCTAATAATTTGGTAGTGTGAACACAGTGTTATTATTAATTTGCAGCTCCTAATGTTATGTGGTATACATTATCTTTACTCCTGTTTATTTCTACTTGTATATACTTTTGTAGGATATCTATAGAAGTTCGTTTACTTTTTTAAAATTGGATGCTTTATGGAATAAATAATTCTTTGCATAGTTTTTTTTATCAGTTCATTATCACAGAAGATGATTCCTCCACCTAAGATTATTTATGATTACATGGTCAGTGCTTAATCTGGAATGTTCTTTCCACCTTATAAAACGTTGTTCCAAATTCTACCTAACATCCAGGTCTTAGCTGGAAAATTACTACCTTCATATTACATTAAGTATTAGCAGATTGGATTTTCATGTTCAGTCTTTTTCTTTGTGGAAAATTGAAGACATCTACTATAGTTGCTAATATAATACAGTTGTGGTGTTTGCATAACCTACTCTACCTTTAAGATGACAGATGTTGAAGGGAAATTTTATCATTTTTTTATCCTGAGAAATATTGCTTAAAATGGATTTAAATTTAGTAAAGAATCAGCAAATATTTATGGGATAGTACCACAAGATTATTAGGCATGTTTATGTTTTGTAAGAATAAGTTTAAAAAGCATAATTATGCCCATTCTTGTGGAGTGAGTTTCCCCTTATAACAATTAAAAATATATTTTTTTTAAAAAAAAGCATAACTATGGGCCAGATTTCTCTGGAAAAAAACACATTAGAGATTCTGAAGAATGTTCAACAGAAGAGAACTTTGTAATTGTATGCAACAGGAATATGGTAATCAAAACTCAAATTGTGCTCATTTACCTTTAATTCCATTCATTTCCATGACACTCTCATTTCTGTATCCTTCACTATCAGTAATGTGGGGAGTTTATTACTGTGAAATATTATTTTAAGAAGTGTTAAATTTGTTTGTGTTGTGGAACATTTGTTTTAATGTCGCAGAGATGTGTTGCATTTGTTTAATTCTGTGAATTTGTGTTACTTTTCCTGCCTAAAACACCTAATTGGCCTAATAAAGAGCAAAATGGCCAATAGCAAGACAGGCAAAAGTACAGGTGGCATTGTCAGACAGAAAGAATTAATGGGAGGAAAAATCTGGAACTAAAAGGAGATTGTAGAGCAATAAAAGAGGATATCAAGGGTCAGCCACCCAGCTACACAGCAAGTCATGGAGTAGGAAGTAAATAAAGATATACAGAAATAGAGAAATATAAAAACTCACAGGCAAAAGCTAGAAAAGAAAATTTCAGTTAAGAAGAAATAAGCCAAGCTAAGGCTGGGCATACATAAGAAAAAATAAGTCTGTGTGTAATTTATTTGGGAATTGGGTGGGGGCCACCAAAGAGTAAAGAGAAATAATAAATTTAAAAATAAGTGACCAAGAACATATGGCATCCAATGTGGGACTTGAATTTCCATAGGGTGTCAGAAAGCAGTTTTTTTTAAAAAAAGGACACATCTCCTTTAAGAAGGTCTACCTTACAACAGAGCACTTAAATAGCTATTTTCATGCTTAGTAGAAGTGATAAACTAAGTAAAAAAAATTATTGTCACACACATACACAAGCATCAGCATTCTAGAGCCATGGGAGATTGAATGCAGTTCCTAGTCAAACAACTCTGACAACACCACAAACTTTAGGCTTAGATTTCATGACCCAAGAGCAAAGCAGAGTCAGCCAATAGAGCCTCATAAAGGACCCAGCAGTAGTTTAACAGTTTAAAGTTTGTTCATAAAGTCAAAAAAGGCTAAAAGATGTACAGTAAAAGGGATCCAGATTGGAAAAAATCCACATAACAGATTCTAGTGTGTTTTACAATGTACACAGGCTTAAGAAAGAAAGAAAAGGAGTGTGAACAGTCATAGAAAGAAATGAATAGTTTAGAAATGGTAAATTAAAATCTTTAGAGAGAGAAACAAAATATTAAAAAAGAAAAGCCGCAGAAAATGATAAATACACAAGAAGTCTAGATCCTGTATATGTTGCTGTATTGATTTTGAATTTTGTGATTATTGATAAGCAAATGATAGATGATGAGACATGGGATTGAAAGAACTGCTGAACTAAACCAGCATAGATATTTTAAGAATGTCTGAACTTTAACATGAAAGTCAACAATGTATTCGACCAAAGAAAGTTAAAAATGTTTTGGAAAAGAGGTTTTGTTTTCGTTTCCACAGGAAAGCTATGTCTCACTGACTCCACCTACTTTCTCCCAGCATTCAGATTAGTTTTCCTGCCTAACTCTATTCTGCCCTATCAGAGACCAAAGTAGCTTCTTTATTCATGAATCAATAAAAGCAACACATATACAGAAGGACTTCCCACACCAAAAGGTAACTATTAATCTCATATATTTTGCATTGTCATGGGTTTTGGTATATTGATAAAAATTTAAAGTTATTTTGTTACAGAGCAAAGCAGAGTCAGCCAATAGAACCTCACAGAAGACCCAGCAGTAGTTTAACAGTTGTACCAAATGGAAGAGTACATTTCCTTGTCACTTGAACAGATTTTACAACAATAAATTTCATAAATTAAATGAAAAAAAAAGTCAAAAAAGGCTAAAAGATGTGCAGTATGATTTTACTCTTATTTGGGGTATTGTGCTCATGCTACTAATTTAAAAATGCAATGTATAATATAAGAAATGAGCTCTCTTTGCCCCGGCTACTGCGAGAATGAAGACCATTCTCAGCAATCAGACGGTCGACATTCCAGAAAATGTGGACATCACTCTGAAGGGGCGCACAGTCATTGTGAAGGGCCCCAGAGGAACCCTCCGGAGGGACTTCAATCACATCAACGTAGAGCTGAGCCTTCTTGGGAAGAAGAAGAAGAGGCTCCGGGTTGACAAATGGTGGGGCAACAGGAAGGAACTGGCCACCGTCAGAACCATCTGCAGCCACGTTCAAAACATGATCAAGGGTGTTACGTTGGGCTTCCGCTACAAGATGAGGTCCGTGTATGCTCACTTCCCCATCAACGTCGTTATTCAGGAGAATGGATCTTTGGTTGAAATCCGAAATTTCTTGGGTGAAAAATACATCCGCAGGGTTCGGATGAGGACAGGCGTTGCTTGTTCTGTCTCTCAAGCCCAGAAGGATGAATTAATCCTTGAAGGGAATGACATTGAACTTGTTTCAAACTCGGCGGCTCTGATACAGCAGGCTACAACAGTTAAGAACAAGGATATCAGGAAGTTTTTGGATGGTATCTATGTGTCTGAAAAGGGAACAGTGCAGCAGGCTGATGAGTAGACCTAAGTTACCAGTTCCAGAAACAAGATCCTGAATTTTAATACAATTTGGGGTGTCTTTTGGGACAATAAAAGACTTGTATTAATAAAAAAAAAAAAGAAATGAGGTTAGTAGCTAGTGTATAATAACAAATCTTGTAGTCACTTTAGGTATGATTTCAAGGATAAACAGGTACATTTTAGGTAGATAGATGATCCCCAAACACTTCAAAAACCTACAGAATATGGCATTTACGATGTTTAATAACTTAAGACTTTTCATAATGAGATACATCTATTCCTGGAAGCACTGATTTATTTTATAAAATGACTGTTAGTAACAAAGAAACTACACATGAGTTTGCTTTTATTGTAGCAATATCAGCCATTTGGGTAAGAAACTGCTTTTGTCTTGACTGCTTGACAGTATGCTATATAAACTGGGCATGCAGGACCCACAGAAAAGTGACTGCTGAACTGTGCAGAAACAAGGTGGAATAGTCCTTCAAGTTTCCTGCTTCACTGAAAAATCTGCCAGATATTCTTTGCCAGTAGACCAAAGATGAATGCACCAACATTGCAAAGAAATTCTTGATGAGGTTCCAGGCAGTCAAATGCCTCTGTCATTTCTAGAATTTTGGAAGTTACATGTAATGCATTTCCTGTTTATGCAGGTATTATTATTATTTCCTTCTGGGGTCTTGAGTGGCATTGAAAACTAACTTAGGGGTCACTGAGATGGGATGGATGGTGAAGTGTTTTCTCTAAATTTGCTAAATAAAAATGGACTGAATTATATTTATTATTTTTGTAAATTATAATTCTTATTGATAACTCTTTTGGATGTAGTTTTACTATGTTAAAGTTAAAATCTTTCATTTTATTTAGATAAAATGAGGGAAAGTTTGTGGAATATTATTTTGAAAGATGTGTTACATTTGTTTATGCCATTGAACTTTGTTTTAATGATACAAAGATTGTTGCATTCTTCTATGTTGCATTTGTTTAACCCTGTGAAGTTGTGTTACTTTGCTGTCTAAAACACCTGAAGAACATAATGATCATTAGCAAGGCATGAAAAAGGATAGGTGGCCGGGCGAAGGTGGCACACGCCTTTAATCCCAGCACTCAGGAGGGGAGGCAGGCAGATCTCTGTGAGTTCGAGACCAGCCTGGTCTACAGAGCTAGTGCCAGGACAGGCTCCAAAGCCACAGAGAAACCCTGTCTCAAAAAAAAGAAAGAAAGAAAGAAAGAAAGAAAGAAAGAAAGAAAGAAAGAAAGAAAGAAAGAAAGAAAGAAAGAAAGAAAGAGAAAAAGGATAGGTGTCATTGGTAGGTAGAGAGAATTAATAAGAGGAGAAATCTGGGGAAAAAAGGAAATGGGGAACAAGAAAAGAAGGAGAGAATGATATCAGGGGCCAGCCACCAGATACACAGCAAGCCATGAAGTAAGAAATAAAGATATACAGAAATAAAGAAATATAAAAGTTCACAGCCAAAATGTAGGCCGGAAGCTTTTAGTAAGGACGAGCTGGCAATAAATTCGCCAAGCTAAGACTGGGAATTCATAAGAAAGAATAAGCCTCAGTGCGATTTATTTGGGAGCTAGTTGGTGAGTCTCCCAAAGAGTGAGGGGAAAAGAGTTTAAAAATCAACAATAAAAACAACAACAAAGACCCAGTTCATTATCTTAGTAAAGCATTGCTGTAGGACACTGGTCTTGTATTTTGTAAGGATTTGTCAGTTTTATTGTTTTAATGAAACACTGATTGGACAGTAGCCAGGCAGGAAGTATCAGTGAAGTGACCAGGCAAGAAGTATAGGTGGGGAGACCAGGCAAGAAGTATAGGTGGGGCAACAAGAACACGAGAGTTCTGGAAAGAGGAAAAGGTGAGTCTACATTAGTCATCCAGACTCAGAGGAAGCAGATGATAATGCTTCGCTGATAAAAGGTACCAAACCACATGGATGACACAGACAAGAATTATGGGTTAATGTAAGATGTAATAGTTAAGAAGAAGCCTGAGCTAATAAGCCAACTGGTTTATGATTAATGTACACCTCTGTGTGTTTCTTTGAGATTGAATGACTGTGGGATTGGGTGGAATAGAAATCTCTGTCAACAAAGCGTTAGCTCCCATGATCTCAAAAAATAAAAATGCCAACAAAGAGCATCAAAAACCTGTAGCAAGGATTTCCTTGCCTGGCTGTAACCTACTTATTTTCATGTCTCATAAATATAGTCAGCAAAACATTTACTGTCTTTATGACGGTCTTTGTATGTGTGTGTGTGAAGATTAAAGCTCACATAAACAGTTCTATGATGGAACATGTCATTCAGGGTGACCTGAGTCCACATTCCCAGTTTATGATTATTTATATTTGACTTAAAATAACATCTTCTTTGAAATGAGAGCTATGTTTTGATTGGCAATGTAACCATTACTGAAGCATCAAAAATTTCAAATAAATTTGACACCAGAGGTAAAAGGACTAAAAGTGACATCATTGTTCCTTTTTTGACATCTGGTATATATATCATTTCTTCAATTGACATATACTTTTGAAATCATTCTTCCTGATCACTGTATGCAGTCATGGACTCTTAACATAAAAAACTGGATACAGCCTAATAGGTTGAAATTACAAAGACTTTGTATAATTTACCAAGTTAAGGTTATATTTCAAATATGTTGGGGCAACATTTCTTTTCTTTCTACCATTTGATATAATGCTAGAGAGTGCATGAATAATTGTTAAAGAGCCCAACATAAACAAGATTTTTTAACACAAAGGGCATAGAACTCATGGAATGCATAGAACAGTGGGGGTAGATGGATTTGTTTATGTATAATGTAGCCCCAAACACAGTTGTGACCTCATACATGACTACAGTTCTTTTTCTTTTTATTGTAAGTGGAATTTAATCGAATGCCCTATAAACACTGGAAAATGTGTACAGTACTTTATGAGAACAGGATGTGTTAATTGAATGTTAATAGTGAATGCTAACCTATTGTTTTGGGGTAAGACACCAAGATTAAAAGAAAGGGTTTATTTTGTCTCTCAGTTTCACATCACAGTTCATCACTGATGAAAGTCAGGGCAGGAAATCAAACAGGGCTGGAATGGGGAGGCAGGAGCTGACACAGAAGCCATAGAGGAGTGCTATTTACTGGTTTATTCTCTATGACTTTGGTTTGTGGGTTTTTTTTTTTATATACTGAATGCTACCAGCCCAGGGATGGTATCATCCACAATGTCCTTGTTGCTTACCTTATTTATATAAAAATTAAGATAAGTAAATGATTCCAATTGGAACAATGCACAATTATTCCAAGTATGCTCTTTGTTACAAGTAGATTTCTTTTCTTAAGATGAGTTATCACGAATAACATTTATTTTGAAATAATATAACCTTTTTAATCAACCTTACAAATAAATTATAAACCAGCCTTCCATACAAAGCTATGCTGGCTAGTTTTATGTCAACTTGATACAAGTCAAAGTCAGCTGGGTAGAGGAAACCTCAGTAGAGAATATGCGTCCATAATATCAAGCTAATGGCAAGCATGCAGGGCGTTTTCTTAATTTGTGATTGGTAATCTTGAAAATAAATTAGCAAGTTACATTTGCCTTTGTTTCTCAGAAACTATTATATACATGACTTCATTTCATTTGACATACCAACTGGGATAGAAATTAAAGATAAAAATTAAAATATCTCAGAAAGGTGTTACTGTAGAGGGACACCAATCAATTAAAATGCATATTGACTATCAACAGCCAATACAGAAATCTCTTTTGTTGTTGTTGTCCTGGAGCTTGCCCCTGCAGAAGATGCTGGCCTTGAACTCACAAAGATCCACTTGCTTAAGCCTCCCAAGTGCTAGGATTCAAGGTGTGTGCTATCACCCAACCCAACACAGCAATCTTAATCACAGAAGCTGCCTCTGAGCCCTACAGTGCTGCTGTGAGAATGAAAAAATGATAGCATTCTAGACATCCACCATATGCGGTATAGCTTCATTACAGAAGAGTGGGTTGACATTGTAATTAATTATCCCTTCATTTGATAGCTTCTATTGAATATGTTTAAATGTGAAGTGATAACCCACTCCCCATATATACTCATTTCAGTTTTTATTCAGTGGTGTGCCTTTTAAAAGGTGGATGTATTTTGTAAGAAGAGAATTTCTCTCATCTAGCAATTTAGGAAAACTCTATCTTAATGAAGTTTCCTCACTACATAGAATCTCCAGCACATGCTCTACAGGAGAGACATTGAGTTGCACTTTCTATAGAAGATACCACACACATGAGGAAATGGAAAACCCTCAAATTTAACATATTACAAACTAATCAGTGTCATATGTTCTAATCAGTGTTCCAGTGAAGATAGCTGCATTTACAGATTACATTTAAGCAATGAAGCTAAGTACCCCATCCATTTTCTTCACATTATTGGGTACTATTTTTTAAAATGGCTTCACTGTAGTATTTCTGTACTACTAAAAAGCATCATTTTGATTATAAATTAAAAAAACACCTTTAAAAGTATATAAACAAGTATCTAGATAAGGTAGTAATAGGTTCTGTTCATGATCTAGAGAGAAGATACCATCTGAGTTTCAAAGGTTGAATGGGAATGTTCACCAAATTCAGGAAAGCAAAAGAAGATGTGGGGTAATGCTCTTGTACACTGTAAAGATTTGTCACTCATATTGGATTAATAAAATGATGATTGACCATTAACCAGATGGGGAGTATAGGCAGGGTGATTAGACTAATAGAATTCTGGAAAGAAAGAAGGCAGAGACCCATTCACCAGCCAGACTCAGAGGAAGCAAGATGAGAATACCTCACTGAGAAAATAATTATGGGTTAATTTAAGTTGTAAGAACTAGTTAATAATAAGCCTGAGCTATTAAACCAAACAGTTTAAAATTAATATAAGCCTCTGTGTGTTTCTTTGGGACTGAATGACTGTGGAACCAGGCAGGACAGAAACTTCCATCTACAGTTTTCCAAGAAAACTTGAATCAAACTATACTATGAAGTGGATAAAGAATTCTCTTTTGTTTCTTGGAGAGTGACTCTCAATTATGACACAAT